GGACATACATTGGGTCTCTTTGCCAGTAATCTTATATCAGCTTGAAATATCTTATTCCCAATATTAGTGGGTGGTGCTGACAAACCTCAGCCAGGTTTCGTTCCTTCCTCTTCAGTTCTGCTTTCCCATCCCAGAGGAAGAGTGGAGATGGGGGCCAGTTTCCTGAATTGATTCTCACTGGGAGGTAAGACAGGACTCAGCAGCACTAGAACAAAATGAAGAGTGTGGAGCCCAGGGGATCCTTTAGTTAGGAGTTAGTTCTCCCAGCCCCCAGCCTCTCTGGAACCCCATGGCACCAGGTCACCCAGAATTACTCTCAGTCATCCTTCACTCTTTATTTCCTCTTCTTGCTTCAAAGTTTGCCAATCTTCTTCATCCCTGTTATCATCTTTGGATCCTGAGGCTCTCTGGAAGAAAGTAGCAGCCCAGGCACTGGACAGTGTGGAAGCAGGAAAGCTCCAGTGCCCCTCTTCACCTTTCTGGAGCTGATGCACCTATTGCCTTGTCCATGACCCAAAGTGGCCTCTGAGGGCAGCTCCGAGCCCTGCCATCTCTTCATTTCCCTTTGAATAACCCATCATTTCCATAAATCCAAGCAGCGAGTTGGCTCTAACTGAGACTTTACCCATCTGGATGGACCCCCCCACTCCGCTCTCTACCACCCCTCATTGCATTGCCCCTCTGGTTTTCTACAAGTGCCTGAGAACACAGACTACAAAAGGAAGTGGATGTGTGTTCCTTCGTCAGTTCTATTTTGACAGGTGAATTACTTCTTATCTATCCAGCCTTTTTCCCAAATAGCTGCCATGTATTACATATCACACTGAAGTGGGAAAATTGTCTTCACTCAGTGAAATTTAGGGAAATTCCAGTCCTATCCAATCCCTAGCAGGTAGCAGGTGGATTCAGGAAGGATGGTGCTAACCATATCACACAGCTGTTTTGCACACAGATTTATTCATTCATTTATCATAAAAAGTAGTCAATGCTAGTGAATTCTCCTTGGTGAGTGTAGGGATTCATCTGTGAGTCCTCCATGAAGAGAAACTCGAGGCAACCTCAGGACCCTCCCTGTTACCTGTTAAGTCAATGGCTAAATGCCATGAGGTAGGAGTTACAACCAAGGTCCCTGCTGGGCTGCTTTCAAGCCTAGTGGTTGGTGAAAACCCCCTGGAAGTGCAGATAAGCTGTCAGAGACCAGCTCCAACTTTTGAGGTGTCTGGAGGCAACACAGGCAGGACCCTAAGATGGGAAGGCGTTGGCGTGCGGAGATTCCAAGAGGGGGAGAGGAGCGAGGAAGACATGGGAGTCGGAGTTGGGTGCAAATCTTCCTGCTCTGCCTTCAGCAGAGGTTTATTTTATACAATTCAAACAGGCAGGGGGATGATATTAGCATACGAAAGGGGTTGAGATCACCATCACCTTTTTTCTAAGAATGGTCTGGGGTCGTTTGACCTTTACTTGAGATTATAACATTCTAAAATCAAAGTTAAAGAACAGGTACAGGCCCTCCCTGGTGGCTCAGCGGGTTAAAGCACAGCACTGAGAATCTAAAGCCGCTTCCGCATGAGTTTGATTCCCGCCTGCCCCGGAGGTGACCACATGGTGTGGCAGACCTCTC